GTCTCAAAAAAAAAAAAAAAAAAAAAAGAATAATCTGAGATTTTAACAAGTCCTAGTATGCCCATGTACAGGACCCTTGAAGAGCATAGGGACCAGGGGACCCCCAGAGCTGAAGGAAGGGAGAGGGCTTGGAATGGGATTTGGTGCTGGCCGCCACCACAGACTTGCAGGGTAACCTGGGCAAGTGTCCTTTCTGATCTGTACTTAGTCTACATAGCAAGAGGTGCAAGGGATATATCTCAACTTATGACATTTCCCCCAGGTGGAGGAAGCATGGACTTAACTCTAGCATGGACTTAAGTCAGTTAGCTAATATTAGATAAGTATTCACAAAGTGCCAGGCAATGGGGAGAAGACCAGTGGGCTATGTCCTAGGGGGGAAAGCAGGCAAATGAGTGAGAAAGTGAATGAGGTCATTTCAATAGTCTAGGGGAAAAACAAAACAGAACAACACACAGAGGGTGACTTGAAGGTTGTGGAGGTCAGGATAGCTGCAGAAGGGCTCTCTGAGGAGGTGACACCTGAATGAGATCTAAATGGTGAGGAGTGGCTTTGTGACTGGGGGAAGTAGGCCAAGGGAGGAGGCAGTGTGAAGGCCCTGTGGCAGGAACATACTGATGTGCCCAAGGAACACTGAGGAGATCAGTGTGTTAGAGTGAGGTGGAGAGGGCAGAGAAGGGGACAGAGGGATGACATGGAGGAGGCTGTGGCTGGAGGAACCAAAGAAGCTTCCGGAATTAGTGGCTTGGAAAGGCCTCAAATGATGGGATGAGGGGCCAGCTTTGTCTACCACGCACTCCTCACCCTCATCTCTTTTCTCTAATTCTCTCAATTCAGGGATCTATTGGATTTCCTGGGCCCCTTGGACCAATAGGAGAGAAAGGGAAGCGGGTAAGTCTTGATTGGGAAGCATGCGTGTTCCTGTGTTCAGTATGGGATACATGTGGGTGATCACATGTGGAACTACCACGCATGTGCCTGTGAGTCACAGGAGCATGTGTGTGTCATAGGCCTCTCTGGATACACCAGGCAGGGTCTGAGTACTATAGCCGGCGGGCCTGTGCCTTGGCGAACAGGAGCCATGTGCATCGTGTGACTGGCTATAATGTGTGGAAGAAGCATGCATATGTGTGTAAAGGAAATCCCAGGCTTATGGCAACCTGTGGCCTTCTAGGTCCTTAAGTGCACCCTTTTGACTGAATCCAAATTTCACAGAACAAATCTTTTTACTTAAGGGGTACAGCAGAGAAAGATGAAGGCTTTCTTGCCTTCTCTGGTATTTAAAAAAGAAAGCTGCAGGTTCCCCACCCCTGCTGGATGTGTACACTGACATGCATGAGTTGTATTTGTATCGCCGTGTGTTGCAACAGCGTAAACAGACACTGTGTATAGGCACACAAGTGTACATAAAGTGCTGTGCTCACCAGGCCTGTGTCTTCAGATAGATCCAGGCATGCATGTGTTTTCAGTGGGTGCACATGTGTGCAAGGATGTATTGCACACGAGTTCTGTGTGCCACACTCAGGGTGTGGATTGCCAAGTGCCTTGAGCACATGCATTCAGGTGTGCATACTGCACAGTGGTGCTAAATGTGTGTCTGTGTGGGCACACATGCTTGTGTGTTTGGACGCTGTGGGTGTTATCGTATGTGTTGTTGGATTTCTGTGATCTTTGCATGTGTGTGAGTATAAGCTGCATTTGTGTGTATGTGTATGAATACAAGGCTGTGAATAAATGTGTGGCAGACATCTTTCTGGGCCTGTGGCTCAGTATATTTTTGTGCTTGTGCCTTGCCTTTGCACCCTAACTCTTTTCTGTTTACCCTTATCCAATTTATTTTCTAGGGGAAGATGGGACAGCCAGGGCTGGAAGGAGAGCGAGGACCACCAGTAAGAAAATGGGGAGTGCCCCTCACCCTGCTGCGCCATATGGGGAAGGGATGGGAAGGAGAGGTGGTGGGGAGACAAGGAAAGGTTTGGGTGTCCCTAGTGGGGCCGGAGGGGGAATCACAGCAGAGGGGAGCTTGGAGGGTTTGGTCTCATCTCCCAGGCCTTTTTTCTGTTCAGGGCTCCCGTGGAGAGAGGGGACAACCAGGTGCCACGGGGCAACCAGGCCCCAAGGTATGGGATGGGTGGGCAGTCACGGCCCCTCATGCTCCTGATCCCTCCCAACCAGGCCCCAAGGTATGGGATGGGTGGGCAGTCACGGCCCCTCATGCTCCTGATCCCTCCCAACCAGGCCCCACGGTATGGGATGGGTGGGCAGTCACGGCACCTCATGCTCCTGATCCTTCCCAACCAGGCCCCACGGTATGGGATGGGTGGGCAGTCACGGCACCTCATGCCTCAGGCCCAGCCATTCCCTCCTGATCCTAGTTGAGTTTATTCTGGGGCCTGAGTCTGATTCACTCTGTCCTAGGGTGATGTGGGGCAGGATGGGCCCCCTGGGATCCCTGGAGAAAAGGTGAGTATGAGAGTGTACACGTGTGTGCGTGTGTGTGTGTGTGTGTGTGAGTGTGTGAGATTCTGGTGGAGAATAAGTCTAAGAGGTGAAGAGACATAATAATGTGGTAGAAAGAACAGTCTCTGAAGTCAAAGAGCCATGGGTTTAAGTCTCGACTCTGCCTGCTGTGTGATCTTGGGCAAATCTCTTAACCTCCCTGTGCCTTAGTTTTTTGCTCTGTAAAATGGGAATAACCTCAGTCCCCACACCAGTGGGCTGTAGTAGAGAATGAAATGACTTTGCTGTGTGAAGAGTGCCCTACCCCATGTTTGGCATGCAGTAAGCACTCAATATGTGCTAGCTCTTATCATTATTTGGGGCTCAGGAAGGGAGAAGGCAGGAGGGCTGAGATAATGACTTCTGATTTCATTTCAGGGCCTCCTTGGTCTGCAAGGCCCTCCAGGATTCCCTGGGCCAAAGGGCCCCCCTGTGAGTGAGGTTACCCTGATAGAGAATGAGGTGGGAGGAGGGTCTGGGGAGAAAGGAGGCTCCAACTGTACCCCAACTCTTATCCCCAGGGTCCCCAGGGGAAAGATGGGAGACCAGGGCACTCTGGACAGAGAGGAGAATTGGTGAGTGACAACTTGACCTATGATTCCTAACCTCATTAAACCCTCACTTTCTTCTCCTTATGTGACACTGCCCCCCCCCCTTTTATTTTTCTCCTTAGGGCTTCCAAGGTCAGACAGGCCCACCTGGACCAGCTGGCATCCTGGGTCCTCAGGTCAGAGTGGACCCCACAATTATCCCCCATTTGGAACTAGTTGCAGGGTATTTGGGAGGAGGAGGCTGGATCTGTGACAGATTTCCTCAGGATACCCCCATTCAAGATGACTATTCTTCCTCTCCAGGGAAAGACAGGAGAAGTGGGGCCCCTGGGTGAAAGGGGACCCCCAGGTCCTCCTGGACCTCCTGGTGAACAAGGTCTTCCAGGCCTGGAAGGTAGAGAAGGGGCCAAGGTGAGACCCCAACCCCGAAGGAGATCATGGTTGAGTGGCCCTCATACCATCTCAGGGCTCAGAAGCAGCCCCATGGGGCAAGGGGCCAGAGTTGCACATGCTGGGGGAAGACACCCCCTTCTTAGAGCCTGAATTTCTTCCTCCACAGGGGGAACTGGGCCCATCAGGACCCCTTGGGAAGGAAGGGCCAGCTGGACCTAGGGGCTTCCCTGGCCCTCAGGGACATCCTGGGGATCTGGTGAGTATCCTTTGGAGCCCCTCCTGCACGAGCCTGGCTGGGCTGTGAAGCAGAGAAGGAAAGGGGGACATTAGCACGATATCTTGGAATAGCAGCTGTAGGGACCTATAGGAAACAGATTCCTGAAGCTCGGTGCCCAGTCCCAGGAAAGGGGTGGAGATCGTGGGCCCCCTAGAAGAAGACAGGTTTGGGGGTTCCCTTCAGGTCTCTCTCTCTTTTTATTTTGAGACAGTCTCACTATGTCACCCTTGCTAGAGTGCTATGACGTTACAGCTCACAGCAAACTCAAACTCTTGGGCTCAAG